CCAGCCGCGGTGTCCCCCCGTGTCCCTGTCCCCGTCACTGCGCTCACCCCAGTAGGCGATGACGGAGGAGTTGTCCCCTTCGCGGGTGATGACGCAGGCGTAGACGTCACCGGCGACGGGCGTCATGGGTAGGTAGGAGAAGCGGACGAAGGCCAGGTCGGCCGTGGGGCTGTAGTGGGTGTGGGTGACCCCTTGGGTGACGGGGACACCGTTGTGTTGCCAACCAATCGTCACGTCCGGCGGGAAGACATTCCCCACCATACACACCAAGGTGTTGGGTTCACCCAACGCCGCAGGTTGCAACGGGAAGACGTCAGCCACTGGGACGCCTGCGGAGGTTGAGAAGGTGGGAGAGAATCAACCAAAGGATTGTTTGGCTTGGAAGAGACCTTTGAAGGTCATCTTCTGCATGAGGAGAGACATCTCCAACCAGGTCAGGGGTTTGGGTTGGAAGGGACCTTTGAAGACCATCTCCTCCACGAGGAGGAACATCTCCAACCAGACCAGGTTGCTCAAAGCCCCATCCATGCCATCACAGAAGGGATTGGGTTGGAAGAAACCTTTGAAGACCATCTAGTCCAACCCCTCTGCCACAATCAGCAACACCTCCAACCAGATCAGGGGTTTGGGTTCAGAGGGACCTTTGAAGTCCATCTACTCCACGAGGAGGAACATCTCCAACCAGACCAGGTTGCTCAAAGCCCCATCCATGCCATCACAGAAGGGTTTGGGTTGGAAGAGCCCTGTGAAGGCCATCTACTCCACAAGGAGGAACATCTCCAACCAGTTCAGGTTCCTCAGAACCCTGGTCCAACCTGACCTTGGACATTTCCAGGGATGAGGCATCTCCAACCACTTTGGCCAACATCTCCCAGGGTCTCACCGCCCTCAGCGTGAAGAATTTCTTCCTTAGGTCTCATCTAAATCTCCCCTTTTTTAGCTTTCAACCATTCCTCCTCATCCTATCACTATGGGTCCCATCAAAAACTGTCCCCAGAAGTATGGAAGGGCCACCATGAAGGTCCCCCTGGAGCCTTCTCCAGGCTGCCCAACCCCAACTCTCAGCCCGTCCTCATGGCGGAGCTGCTCCAGCCCTCAGACCATCTTCGTGGCCTCCTCCAGACCTGTTCCAACAGGTCTGTGTCCTTGTCCTGAGGACCCCTGGGTGCTCCAGGTCACCTCCCTCGACCCGCTGGCCACGTGTCTTCTGCTGTGGCCCAGGAGACGGTTGGCGTTGTGGGCCGGCAACGCCCGTTGGTGGCTCACATCCAGCTTTTCATCCCCCAAGTCCTTCTCCACTCTCCATCCCATCATCCCCCAGCCCGTGGACACGGCTGGGATGGCGCCGACCCAGCTGCAGGACCTCACGCTTGGCCTGGTTGAACCTCCAGAGGTTCTCCTGGATCCATCTCTCCAGCCTATCCAGGTCCCTCAGGACGGTTCCCTGCCCTCGGGGGTACCAACCACCCCACGCAACTTGGGGTCACCTCCAAACCTGCTGAGGGCGCCCTTGATCCCACCATCCGTGTGGTTGATGAAGATATGGAACATACTGGTCCCAGTATGGATCCCTGAGGGACATCACTGGTCTCCATCCAGACATGCAGTCATTGACCCCAACTCTTTAGATGCCACCATCCACCCAACTCTTCATCCACCAAATGGTCCATCCATCAACGGAGGAGGACATTGTGGAGGACCACGTCAAAGTGACAATGGCGGCACATGTCATGGATGAAGATATGGAACGTACTGGTCCCAGTATGGATCCCTGAGGGACATCACTGGTCTCCATCCAGACATGGAGCCATTGACCACAACTCTTCAGATGCCACCATCCACCCAACATTCCACCAACTCCATCCAATTGAGAGAGGAGGACATTCTGGAGGATCATGTCACAGGGATGATGGTGGCACATGTCATGGATGAAGATATGGAATGTCCCGGTCCCAGTATGGACCCCTGAGGGGCATCACTGGTCTCCATCTGGACATGAAGCTGTTGACCACAACTCTTTGGATGCCACCATCCAGCCAACTCTTGATCCACCCAACGCTCCATCTATCAATGGAGGAGAACGTTGTGCAGGACCACATCAAAGGGATGATTGTGGCACATGTCACAGATGAAAATATGGAACATACTGGTCCCAGTATGGACCCTTGAGGGACATCACTGGTCTCCATCTGGACATGAAGCCGTTGACCACAACTCTTTGGATGCCACCATCCACCCAAGGTTCCACCAACTCCATCCAACTGAGAAAGGAGGAGGTGGAGGAACATATCAAAGGGACGATGGTGGCACATGTCATGGATGGTGACCACGACGTCCCCCATAATGATGTCACCTACCCTTCGACTCCGGCAGCTCGCCGGTGGCCAGGTCGGTGAGGTCGCGGCGCAGCTCCTGGCAGAGCGTGGCGTCGCGTAGCAGCTGGGCAGGGGGCTCCAGGGCCGGTGGCCACGGGGGCAACTCGGGCAGGCGCGGGGTCCAGCGGGAACCGGGGAAGTCGAACCAGAAG